GAAAGAAAGAAAGAAAGAAAGAAAGAAAGAAAGAAAGAAAGAAAGAAAGAAAGAAAAGGCCTCTATGTGCCCAGAGTCACGGTGAAACTGTTTCAGTACAACACGGATACTAGTGCTTGCTGGTGAAGCCTGCCTGGAAGGAGGTGCAGAGCATGTTTGATTTTCCAGCTTGAAAAAATGTGAAGTCTTGTTTGCTCAGTCAGGGCAACAATTTGTTGAAGGGCAGAAAGGAATAAGCCCTCCCCAAAAGCAAGCCCACACTGGATTTTCCAGACAAAGATCATGTTGAATCTCTCACTCGCTTGTCACTTGGCCTGCAGCCATAGCGAGGGTCAGTGGCTGGAGATCTTAACTCCACCGTAGACCAACACTTTCAAATCTTGGAGGAGCAGGAAGAAGCCTGGTCACAGTAGGAAATAATGTGATGTGGCATCTCTGGGAGGGAAGAGCGTCTTCACCTTCCAAGCTTGATTTCCTTCCTTTCTCACACCTGCCTGTGGCTGGGCTCTTTTCCCAGAGCTCCAGGCAGAATTCGAGAAAGCGATTCAGCATGGCAAAGTCAGAAGAACTCCTGTTCTCCTCCAGTTACACTTCTTAACACAGAGGTAATACTATTCTGTTCATCAGGTGACTCATAAAGCCACAGGAAAGGTGATGGTGATGAAGGAATTGATTCGCTGTGATGAAGAAACACAGAAGACCTTCCTGACAGAGGTAAGCATCATTTCTCATGAAGGTGTGCAGGCAATGGACAGCACTTCCCTTTCAACAGCCTAATGGCTTCCAACCCCACTGTGTGTGGGGTCCACCAGAGGAAGAGCAAGTTAGTTCTTGGACATCCGCTGACTTTTTGGTACCCTGTGACACATCAGAGTTAGTTATTTTGGTTTTAAAAGTCGGGTTCCTGGGGGAGAGGCAATGGCCTTGGTTTATTCCAGGTTTCTCTGTCTTACAGGTGAAGGTGATGCGCAGCTTAGAGCATCCCAATGTCCTGAAGTTCATTGGGGTGTTGTACAAGGACAAGAAATTGAATCTTCTCACAGAGTACATTGAAGGGGGGACTCTGAAGGACTTCCTCCGAAACGTGGTGGGTTCCATCTCTTACAACATCAGTAAGCAGTGGCAAGGGGACACTTGATCCTTCTGAAAGAAACAACTAAGACCCTTTCTCTAAAACTTCACAAAATGTAGTCCCACTCCATGGTTGGGCTCATGTATCATGAAAAACTATGCTTGGTTTCTGGCTTGAACATGCCAGTGGTGACTTTTTCAACAAACCATGGGTTAGCCTGATGCGTGAAGCCCACCGGTACCTAATAATTGCTTTGTTCCCATTCAGATTATTCATTCTAGAACATGGGTAACCACCTTTCTGGGCTGTGTGACATTTGATAGCAAGTCCTGGACCTCCCTACAAAATGGTTGACATAGTTGGCATCAACAGTCACAAAATACCCACTTACAAAGGGTGAATTGAGTCCTTTGCTCTCTGCCACCCCTCTTGACCACAAGAGTATTGCCTCCAGTCCATTTGCCCTGGGCCTTGCATGTGCCCTTACAGAGACTACGGAAGATGGCCTTGATGGAGGGGCTGTTGCCTAGGCACAAGGGGCAAAACATGTTTAAGTCCAGAACAACAATATAACATTCAGCAGCGGCTCAGGCAGACACCTCTCTGATTCACTGGCAAGATCCCATTATTATAACCAATCTCAATAAAAAATAGTGCTAACTTTTCAGGGAGCTGACTTTCTGTTTGGTCTGCCTAGTGCAATGTTGTTCAAACTTGGCCACTTTAAGATGAGTGGACTCCCAATTCCTCGATTTCCC